CACACGTGTGTGTGTGTGTGTGTGTGTGTGTGTGAGAGAGAGAGAGAGAGCAGGTAGGTCTCAAGATCGAATAAATATACCCCTAGAACATGGAAATATACACTATACACTTCCAGACGTGTGTGTGTGTGTGAGAGAGAGAGAGACACAGAGACACTGAGAGAGAGAGAGAGAGGCATGGAACAAGGGGAGGAAAACTGACCTTAGCCAGCGTACTCCGCGGACGTCCAAGGCGGCGGCGGGTCGCAGTGGCTGAAGAATGCACTACACCGTAGATTGCGGCAGCGGATACAACATGGTGTGCAGCCTTTTTTCTTTGCGCGGGGACTTGGAAAAGTATAGGGTTGGAATTCAAATTCTTAGCGCCTCCCCCCCCTAGAGGGCATCTCAGGAAGATGCGTCCCCCACAGAAGGGCAAATCGGACAGGCAGCAGGGGAAATAGGACCGCCGGTCCGGTAGGGGCATTCCAAAAAGTTGTGCCCCTCACTAACAGGGGCCTGTTCGAAAGTTCAGAGGCCCAGGGGCAAATCAGGGTAAGTAGGCCGTCGGAGGGGCAAATCGCAAATTAATGCAAACTTCAAGGGCATTTCAAAAAATTTCCCTTGATTTTTTTGAAAATTTGAAATTTGTCGAAATTTGAATATAACGTACGTACGTTTTATTCGACCGTACGTTCTATTAAAAAAAACTTCATCCATTTTGGGGAACCCATTTTTCCAACGTAAGTTGAATAGAACGTACTTACGGTTTTTTTTGGTAAAGAGATTAGTCCCCCCCCTCCTCTCCAAAAAGAATTGGAAATGCTATTGGAAAGGACTTCAAAAAGTAGAGATGCAATGAAATGAACTTTAAACCACCAATACTTCCTAAAGTTGTGCCCGTTAACGCGGCACGATCTTAGGAAATGTACGGGTCACTACAAGAGCGCCCAAATTCATCCAACTATAAACGTTTCTACTCTAATTTTTTTTCCGCGGCCGATAGCAGGGCCAACTACTGGTGGTAAAATGGACCGAATTGGGATGAAGTGAGATGTGATGCCAACAAGTTGAAGCACCTGACAACA